GCACTAAACAGCTAAGCGCAAGCCTTTTGCAAAAACTGTAGGTAAGATATGCTATCCTCGTGCTTACAGAAATGAGCGAAGCTTTGACGATTTCTTTAGTCAAAATTTATTAAGGGTCGATTTCTCAATCCAAATAAGTTCTAAATCATGATCAAGCATGCTAGGTAAACAAAATCTAACCCATATCATGCTTCAAAAGAACTATATTTGCGCTTAAGATGTCACCAAAAAAGTGAACGTTTTGAGATTTCAATTTCGAATGCGGTTTATAAAATGCTGGTGAAATTTTATTAGATGACAATGAAGCTTAAGCGTTTCATTAGTGTTATCAAGACCATGAAGCAAGCTTTTAAATGATATGCAAAACCTGTGTCGACAAAGAATGTTTGATGGGAAAAGGCTGTCTGGAAAAAGGGTCTAAATCGGACATTATTTTTGCTCCAACCTAACGTACACTGGTTTTTATAAGTATAGGACCTCCCCCCCCCCCAAAAAAAAAGTGGGATTCTCGGATTTCTAGACCACCCGCTCGGGAATGGGTCGCTAAATTCCTAAAATTTAGAATTTTTTGAAAATGAAAATCTCTAAAACTTCAATTTAGCCTTGTAATTTTTTTGGGGTGTAGCTTATGGGCCCTCAAGAATTTTGACAAGCACCCCAGAAAATCTTCGGAGTGCATGGCTAACGCCACGCATCTCCATGTGGAAAAATTTTTGCCGCGTTCTCCCCCCCCCCTCCCCCCCCCCCACGTTATTCCTGGGATCGCCCCTGTTTGACACGTATGAGCATGTTTAGTCTTTCACTGCTTAACAACTACAAGACCGCTCACAGAATGTGCAAAATTTCCGTGAATGTCGCGAAATTCCGAAAATTCCGCGAACTTTCCGGAATTTCGCAAAATTTCGGAAAATTCGCGAATTTTCGCGAAATTCCAGGAATTTCGGAATTTTCGGAATTTCGCGATATTCACGGAAATTTTGCACATTTTGTGAGCGGTATTGTATAGTAATATCATAAGTGGGCGGGACTTACACTTCACAGCTAAAAAGCGAAAAATCGATATTTTGGAGGTTAGTGAACCACCAAATCCTCAAATTTTATAGAATCGGTATTCTAAGAGCTGTGAAGTCCCGAAAATCGACAAAAATCGATAAAATCGATATCCTGGAGGTTTCGAAATACCGAAAATTGACAAAAAATCGATGAAATCGATATCCTGGAGGTTTCAAAATACCGAAAATTGACAAAAAATTGATAAAATCAATATTTTAAAGGTTGCGAACCCCGAAAATCGACATAATCGATAATCTGAAGGTTTCGAAATCTTGAAAATTGACAAAAATTGATATCCCAAAAATCGGCAAAATTGATAAAATCGATATTTTGAAAGTTGCGAAATCCCGAAAATTGACAAAAATCGATAAAATCGATATTCTGGAGGTTTCGAAATTTCGGAAATCGGTAAAATTATCGAAAAACTAAGCGAAAAATTCGAAAAACTCCATAATAAGCTCATTATCAGTGCTTTTATACAGCTGAATCTTCTCCAAGCAAGCTCCGTCCACTTTATACCTCACATCACAATCGAAATTGAAGAAAAATAAGAAAAATTAAGGAAAAATAAGGAAAAATAAGCGAAAATCGCGTTTTTCTAGCCCGGTTTACCCCCTTTCTAGCCATTTTCAACCCCCTAACCAGGTCCAGATGGCCGCGGGTAACTATCACACGCGCTGCAGAAATAAAGAGAGGGGAAAAAATGAGGGGGAGAAAAGTGAGAAATTGCGAGACCCTGAACTAAAAAAACGTCCGGGAAGGTTCATAGATGGGCTCCCACAGGCGGAGCCCCTGCATTTTCTCCGAATTATATGTGGTATCGCCCTCGAATTTAAACTGAACAATGGCTATCCCAGCCTGTTATCCCTACTCTCCACGGAGATAAAATTCAAAATATGCATTATCGCCTTTATATAGCGCCTCCTACGGTGGAGCTACAGCCATGATCTACCTCTAGAAAAATAGAGCTATCAAAAGTACACATCAATGACCACATGTGATTACCCCAACCCTACAACTTGCAGAGATATAAGGGCGCAAACTCGCCTTTATTGACAGACTTCCCAAATTCAGCTGTCAATTAGGCACTTTTATTGGAAACTTGTTATCCTACGACCTTCTCTCTAAAAATCATATTTTCAGAGATCTGTCGAACAAAACAAACTCCAGCCCCGTAGCTGTAATATTCGCAGAGTTATTAGCCCCCCAACATGCACGCTCAGGCTGTAAAATCGGCACCTCCAATGTTGCTCCGTAATTCCCCCAAAAATCACGTTAGACACGTCTCTCACACTTTTACTCACCATATTTTTTTCAGCCTCCCATATGCAGTTTGAAGCAAGTTATGGTCAAAAAACCCGGTTTAGCTAATTACAATACCGCTCATAATTCGTCAAAAAAGTCGCCGGACTGCGGCGGAGTGTGGCGGAGTGCGGCACAGTGCGCCGCAATGTTGTTAGCACGCCGAGTACAATACCGCAATGTGCAAAATTTTCGTGAATGTCACGAAATTGCAAAAATTCCGCGAACTTTCCGGAATTTTGCGAAATTTCGGAAAATTCGCGAATTTTCGCGAAATTACAGGAATTTCGCGGAATTTTTGGAATTTCGCGATATTCACGGAAATTTTGCACATTTTGTGAGCGGTATTGTATACGACACCCTTGAACACAATGAGTCTTTCGAGATTTCTTCTGTTCCCCCCCCCCCCCTCACTTCTCTCCGCCTTGCCTTTTACCCTTCACTCTCAGTGCTACTACTCAGTCCAACCCAGAATAAAGGGCAAGACCCCGAAAACAAAAAAGACGAAAAAACCTACAGCACTCTCCACTTCTCGTCCCAGCTTCTCTGCCCTTCAACTTGCTCTCCACGAAACCTCTGCGAATTCAAGCAAACGATTAGAAGAAGCAAAGAGCTAATGAAAACCTTTTCAGGGCGATAGAACAGCTTAGAAAGAAATTATGACATCGTTGTTTTCTTGTATGAAAACTTGCAGAATAGGTACAATTGATGAAGAAAAATATGCAAGAATACGTGAGCAAAAGATTAGTTGGAGTTTATTTGGCATCCAGCTGGAACGTTTCCAGCTAATTCTAAGAAAAAGTCAAGCATGGCTTTCATTCACATAAGTATTCATAAATTTTTTGGGCCGTGTTGTAGTCCTCCCACGCGCACGTGCACACCAGATATGGTGTAATATCATAGCGTTCCAGGTGTAAACAAGACTGTTGTTTGCTTGGAGCTTTGGAATCTTCGAAATCAGCTTTGGAATCCAGCGCTATTTAGCCGCTAACATGCCATTCTTCTGATTCTTTATTATCCTTTATTTTTCTGGCTTCATTCCATTTTGCTGGATAATTCTTTAAAAGTATCGAATTAGGAGAATCGCAAAAAAGGTTGCTCCCAGTATCTAAAGACGTAAGTTTAATATCAACACCACCAATGACCAGTCAACACCACCATCATCCCATCGTTATGCCAGCGGCGCGTCATGGGCCTATCGCCGGAGGCGTGCCGGTAGCCTGCCGGCGGTATGTCCCGGACATGCTAACAGGCAACGGCATGCCGACGTAAAGACGATATCCGCGTTGCTTTTTTTCTCAAAAAAGATGTCCTGCTTGACACGGTTTCAGCTGTATCTCACCCTGGATTTAGTCTAGGATTGCATACAAAATACTGCAATTTCAATTTTGATCATGAATGCAGGAGGACGAGTGGCGCAATGGCATGAGGCTATGACCAGATCAAAATCGAACTCTTACGCTCCCCAGGGCAATATTTTGATAATAGAGTAATCTGGGGGATAAAAGCATTGACTTGATAATCTGCAGCCACCGCAAGTCGTTGGGAGAGACTCGCAGTACTTCCGACTATAAAGTAGAGTGCGTTCGCTGCATGTCCGCAGAGGGTATTAAAAATGCCAAAACCTTGATTTTGATGAACTCAGATTTCCTACCTTCTTCAAGCGCAAATGCTGGTGAGCTCGCTAAGAAATGCCAATGAAAAATCTGTCAAACAGCAGCAAGACCGACAATCGTGACTTGACGTATTTTACGAAAGCCTTAGTCGAGACATGCGATCCTCGATCGGAGCTAGGGTCATATGTTATCAAATCCTACTATAAGCACGACCATAGCACGTTGTTGACAAAAATTAGGTGCTCAAATTCAGCGGCTCTTCAGGTTACAAACTCAAATTTTTGCAGACGTTAGAAAGGACTTTTTTAGCTGAAAGTGGCACTCCTCTAGATCACTACTATGCATGGCTGTTGAGCTCGTAAAAGACAAGAAAAGCTTGCTAATAATCTGCTCACTTAATAAATTCTGCAAAAGAAAAAACATACTCTGCTTACAGATTACATTGTGTTTGATGCTAGATTTGAGTCAATTGACTCATTATGTGCACTGCACACGCCTCGCTACTTCACCGCTTGTAAGATTAAGACCCCTAAAATTTAGTGCATTTCCTTCGTCTGCTTCTCTTTTTTGATTTGACTGGACAAGCTAACAAGTAACGGTACGTAATTACTTTTTAAAGTCATTTCAGCTAACAAAACCGGTAAGGTGCTTGATTGCCTATAGTATGCTTGGACATATTCACTTCCTCATCTGAATAGCTGATGTTTGTTATGGTTTCATGAGCCGCGTTGTAGCTGGGTAAGAAGTCTTTTGAAAGTCTGAGCGATAAGCGCAAAACAGACATTTCATATACCCACCCCAATGAAAGAATGCGAAATCGATGATTCTCTATCTTGGAGCACACGATCAAGAGGTTTCGTAGGCAATCAAAGTTCATTTCCCAATTCGAAATGCTAAAGCAACTGAATTTGTTGCAAATAATCCACGACTCCTATAAACGCTCAAACAAATGGGAGGAATTTTATTTTGCCTACAAAAATGCCGTCTTTATTAACCGCAATTCAAATGCAAAAAAGCAACATAAGTGAATTATTGTGGAACTTTGGACGTACAGTAGGGTTTTGACAATTCTTCGGCACAAAACCATTTCATATTCAGTCCTTTCGCTTTGTATTCCTGGAACTTTTTTCTTAGAAAAATGGCATCAAGATTTTTAGTTCACAAACCTGCATCTTCCGGAAAATCGCTTTATTGGCAACAACTTCCCTTAAGACCGTGTCGCATACTTTTAGAGGCTTGGAGTCTCCGACGTGTGTGCTCACAAGATTACAGACTTGCTTCAGCCTCTAAAATCTTAATCCACATACATAACTTCAAAAATATATGAAAAACGTACATCCCCTTTTACTTTATCCATTTGATGGTCCGCAAAACTGAACACGGAGAGTATGCAGGTATCACAGTCGTTCCATTTAGCACACTTAACATTCAAAGTAAAGCTAAGAAGCAGAAAGAGCAATATGCCCATGCTGCTATAGTCGTCGGAAGCGATATGAGTCGAATTAAAAAAAAGCTTGCAACATTGACGTAATGTGTCGAATCTATTTGTGGCAGAAATAGTTTTTTGATCGATCTCTGTTCAAAACGAATGTCTTGCGAAAACAAATTTTGTTGAAGAGCGGAGAAAACCAATGATTAATGCTTCTCTTTCATTATAATGTAGTCGTGATGTCTAGATTCTAAAGTGCTGAATGCTTCAATCAATAAGACAGATTTTGAGGTTTTACTCGTAAAAGCATATGATTCAATGTTTTTTCAATGTTTTTTACACTATCCGGTTTCTAGGCTTAGAACTATACCGGTAGTGCAACTTCCTTGATGTCCATCATGCCCATCGTCAGTAATTCCAAAGAAACTTCAAAATTAGCAATATTCAAAACAAAGATGAGGTCTAAGCTACGAAAAGGTGGAATATTAAGAGACTAAGCAAGTGCAAATTACGCCAACATTACGTATACGACAAAGAAAATGATAATTGTCACATCCGGACAAATAGCATTCTCATTTTCAAATAAAGAACTCCCGCCGCCTCAGACCGCGGTAGCGTCAGCCCACGTATCATGGAGGTTAGGTAAAAGAGGCAAATGTACGGTACTAGGAATTCCGTACTTACGCGTTGAAAATGCCCTATTGATTAGTATATGATAAAGTCTACACATAAAAATATAAAATCCCCATCCATTTGTTTTAGAAGTCCTATTATAGCTAACTCTATCACCCTTTCTTCAAAGCGCGTGATTGGTTCAGTTTCTGTAAATTCTAAAGATTTCTGAAGTGCAAGTATTGTATAATACAGGGTGTCCCATAAAGGATGTGCACACTGTTTGACCGTTAATAACTCTCTTGCTGTCCCGTCTTTCGCCAGCTTGAGGTACCATTCTGTAGAGCGAGGCTCAACTTAGATTTGCAGCATGGAATGGATCATCAATCATCCTTTGTTACTGTAGGATTACGGTAGCAACTTCGAAAAGGATTTTAGGCCATTAAAGCGATATATTACCCTAAAAATATGTCAAAGAAGGAGAACAGCTGACCGTTCAAGAGGAGCTGGGGGAGAGAAGTGTGCTATATTGTAAATCTAAGTTGAACCTCGCTCTACAGAATGGTATCTCAACCACGGCGAAAGACACAAAAGGTAGAGAGTTATTAACGATCAAACAGTGTACACATCGTTTTGGGACACCCTGTATATATCTGAATATATTAGACTCTCAATGTGGGTGTCTGAATACCTTGAAATTGTAGTCATCTGTCTTATTTTTGCATTGTCAAGCACAAGCTATATGTTAGGTCGGTCCGAAAGTTCGCGCTGTTTTTAAGACACATGCTCAAAATACTTAGAATAAAGATAGACAAACGCTATAAACATTATCCAATGTAGAATTTTTCCCTCTTTCTAGTGGTCATATTTTCTTCAGGTTTCCTCAATGTCCGCTCAATAATCGGATCTCCAACCCATAAATTCACCCATCTTGAGTTTGTCTACTTTTTAAAACCATTTTCGACTTTTGGACCAGCTTTGATCAGGATAGACTAAACAAAATGCAATACAATACATTTTTTGGCATCTCTGTTGGCTTCCAAAATCTCTGAAAATATTTTTCTGATGCTACCCAATTCCATATTTGGAAATCTCAGTCCTTACAGAACAATAAACGGCTAGCAGCCAGGGTGTCATTCGATGCAGCTTTCTCTCCTCTTTCTGATAGGCTTCTTTTCTTCCTGATTTGTTTAATACCTGAAGACAAAATTGTTATAATTATTGTTTCCAGACTCGTTCCAAGCTATAATCAGAAACTTAGGAATCCAAAATTTCGAGCCGCTAAACGCTTAATTGCTTGCACCAGCGCTAAATAATAAGCTGTCTGTGGAAGCCTCAAATTCTGAAGGTTTGTCAATGCTTGAAGCGATTGTGTATCTCGCAATTCTAAGGGCCAGGGCCTAGCACGAGCGTGGCAAATGAACATCGCTGGAAAGATTTCGCTCTTGCCACTATCGATTTTTACGATTTTTCATTGATCCCGCCAGCTGCGTAGCTCGATTGAAGCTCGCTTTCTTCCTCGGAAGGACGGGCGCCTTTCTATTCCGAATCCTAATAAGGAGGAGGGGAGGAGTTTTGGGACCAAAATGTTACCATATACTAAGCTTTAAGCGTAAACAGATTTATGTAAAAATCTTGAAGAAATCATGTGAATGGAAGTTTTGCCAACCTCAGGTGGGCATTAAGTTGGCAGTATACTTGGGTCCGAGTCGAATAGAAATTCGATCATTCGAATAAAACATTCGAATATATTCGTATTCGAAATTCGATATTCGGAGTTCTTCCATTTTCGAATAAAATTCGACTCGAATAATTGAGAAAACGGGATTTCGAATAAAATTTGAAACTCGAATAATCAAAAAACAGAGTTTCGACTAAAATTCGAAAACTTGAATAATCAAAAAACTAGATTTGAATATTATTCGAAAACTCGAATAATCAAAAAACGGGGTTTCGTATAGATTTTATTCGAATGCTTTATTCAAATAAGAAAACTAAAATAAATGAGAAAGTAACAAAATAAAATAAATTAAAAGATATCCAATTCCGTTTCATTCCTTCCACTAGACGGAAAAGGATAAGAGTACGATCTTCCCCGGAAATCATCAGTAGTGAGGGAAGATCGTATGGATAGAAAATAATAATAAGGGAACTAACCTCAACCTTCGACTGATGGGTCTTCTTGGTCTTCAATCCTTGGTGTGAATAAATCTAAAAATTATAATGTAGTTATTGTAGTCTAACTAGTTAACATGCTCACTTATATGAAATACATTAACCAAAGTAAGTTAAATATAAAAGAGGTAAGCTTCTATTACTGACCTTTTCTGGAAGCGTCCACTCTGTTCAAAATTTTCTAAAGGACTAATGTCAATGGAGCAGACATTTCCGAACTAAATTAGAGCAGATAAAAACCTGGATTAACTTAATTAAGGCGTGTATTTTGATGGTAAATATGTGCTTATGTGAATATGTGTTTAAGTGTTTTTGTACTTGTGGTTTGTCAGTGTCTATTTCTGTGTAATATTTGTGTATATGTGTATGCGTGTACTTGTGTGTATATCTATGTGTGTATGTGTGTATGTGTATGTGTTCGTGTCTTGATTTGTATGTGTATATATGTATGTGCATGCGTGTGTGTTTGTATTTGTGTTTTTATGAGTATCTATGTTTGATGTGGCGTATATGTATGTATATGTTTGCGTGTTGTGTTTATGTGTATGTGTATGTGCATGTGTATGTGTGTCTGCATGTGTATATTTATGTATATGTATATGTGTATGTGTACTAGTATGTATATGTATATGTATATGTGTACGTGTATATGTATATTTATTTATTTATTTATTTATTTATTATTGCACGTAGTGCGCCAACAATTCAAGGTGTAAGTAAATCAATGAGTAAACACAAACATTAAAAGTGAAAGCATTACTAAATGAGGGATCCGATACAACAGTTAACCAGTCTAAGCCAGTTGGACACTACCTTACTTCTATAACATAATGAGATCCTAGCAAAAAATCAACCACTACATAATGGCTTACTATGTTTGTGAGTCAGCCATTCTGCGTCATCTACTATGATTGAAGTTTACCATAGATGTAAGATATAATAAGCAATAACTGAGGTGGGGCCAAGACCATAGGCACCCCAAAGGCAACTTCGCATCAATCTCTTTCCCTGTATCTTTATAATTGCATACCCCGACATAAAGGGTGAGGCCTAGGCGAATGGGCTAACCATGCGTGCCTCGGTTATATCACCAAATCTCCCTTATCACGAAGTTGGTTACGAGGTAGGAGGATTTCAAGTAATTGTGAGAATCAGCAGTAGTCAACTTTCTGCTATAACTGTAATAATCAAATGAAGTTAGGTAGAATCCTTCTGGACTTGACGGCGTATTGTACTAGAGAGACTATCATTACTTTCAATACTACCTAATAAATTTAGAAATTAGAAAAAAATCATAATAGACTTGTGCGTCGATGAGCTATAATTCTTCTGCCAATAGACAAGGGTAAGCCAACAAGCCGCGCAGTCCAGCTGAAAAAAAGATAAACAGATACTATCAAGAAAGATTTAAAATTTGATGCAAATCAACTTTCCTTAGCTTTCTCATGAAGCCAAAACTATCTGCTGAACTGAGCACATTCGGGGGGAGACGCTGTAGGAACCTCGCACCACGGTAGAATAAGGTATTGAAGACCAACAAGAACTTCTTCCGTCTAATTCGGGCGTAGTGAATATTAAATGACTGAGAACGTTGACTGCTAGGCATGAATACCCAATACTTACTCGCTCGTAATCTAATTTCCTTCCGAAGTACCCGAAAGCAAAAAACCATATCTGGTAGCTTTCTACGATATTCTAGGCTCCTCATTCTGAGGATGTTGAGTCGTTCACTGTAGCAAGGCATATTTACGTTATGATTAGGCCAACATCGTAAGTACAGCAATCGAGTAAAAGTTTGCTGGACCTTTTCTATACGCCTGATGTCCTTCTTGAGATATGGACTCCATATCTGTGAACAGTATTCAAGATGTGGCAAAACATAAGCATTGTATAATCGTTTATAAATCTCAGGATTTTGTGAGTGTATTGATCTAAAGATAGCATATAAAAAACGGTATGCCTTCATGACTATGTGGCTTATATGCTGTGAAAATCTGAGAGAGGGTTCAGTTAATACTCCCAAGTCTTTAGATGACGTACACTCAATCAGGGTGACACTATCTATCTCATACTTAGCTCCTTCCTCCCTTCCGATTCATAACAGAACATTTGTCAAGATTAATGGGAAGATCCCACACTTTTGACCAGTCCAGCATTCGTTTAATGGACATTTCAAGCGCTTGGCGAACTTCATCATAGTTGGAAAAGTCATAAATTCCATAGATTTTGATATCGTCAGCGAACATCTTGACCTTGATGCAAGGTGCCGTTTTCAGTAAGGAAGGTAAATCCATGGTGTAGATTAAAAAAAGTAGCGGTGAAAGTGCACCCCCTTGAGGCACCCCCTTGACAAAAGTATTTCTCAGAGTGAGTATGACCAACTTTTACAGTCATGCTCCTGTCACTTAAGTAAGATTCAAGCCAAGCGAGAAGGTTTCCGGATATGCCAAGGCTACTTAACTTCATTACAAGTTTTCGATGACATACCCTGTTAAATGCTTTCGACAGATCGACAAAAATATTATCTACGGCTTGATTATTGTTTAGAGCAACTGTCCAGTCAAACATGCTGTCGGCTAAATTACTCACTGTGCTCGCACCTTGTAGAAACCCGTGCTGCTCTTCTGGTATAATACCTAATTTATTTAACCAAGTGGTAATATTATCCCTTAAGATCTTTTCCATAACCTTGACAGAGGGGGGTGTTATGCTAATCGGACGGAATTCTGAAACTAGCCTTGCATTAGGTCTCTTTGGAATTGCTGTAATTATGGCTTCTTTCCATATCTTAGGCACTTCACCAGAAAACATAGAAATGTTGAAGATATGTGCCAAAGGTTTGCTAAGCGAATCAGCACATTCTTTGTAAATAATTTGGGGGATACCATCATAAGGTTCTGATATTGAAGGCTTCAATCTCTTCAAAACAGCTCGAATATCAGAAGGCGAGAAGTAAACATTATCAAGCCGTCGACTGGTTGACAGTCGGGCGATACTAACATCATTTGAAAAGCTACTGTCATTTTGGGTAAAAACACTGGCAAAATACTCGGCTTAGGCATTAGCTTTAGCGACATCAGAACTATAGGTAATGCCAGTCGAATTCATAAGTACTGGCAACCGGGAGCATCCTTTTAATTTTCTATTGATAAATTGGTACAAGAATTTTGATGAGGTCCTAGAGGCAAGCTTTCTTTCTTGATAGTCTAGAAATTTCTTCACATGAAACTCTATATCCATACAGATTTTCTTGTACATTGAACTTTCACATGGGTCTTGACTTTCAAGAAAAACCCGCTGCTTTTGTTCCATTAGATTTCTTATGTGTTTAGGGTAGCCGGTATTTGTCTGGCAGTGGATTCGGAAAGGTACGAAGATCTTCAGCGCGTTGTATATCACATTGCAAAACCTTTGGTACAGATCATCAACTGAGCAGTATTGATTAAACATGTCCCACCAGTCAACGTTCGCAAGATAGGAATTCAAAAAATCGAAGTCAATTTTCAAAAAGTCTGGCATAGGAAAAGGGGCAGAGAGACTATGATTCACATTCAAATTAAACCCAATGATGCAATGGTCAGAGTTAGCGAGTGGAGGTAAAATTCGTACAATTGAGACAGTAGGTGATGATGACAAAATCAGATCGAGAAGTTTGAAACATAAGTTGGACAATTTACTAATTGATCCAAACCCAGTTCATTAAAAAAGTTTAGAAATCTCGCAGAAGTATGGTTAAGTGCAACAGCACTGCCCCAATCAATCTGCAAGTTAAAATCACCCATCATCACGGTATCTGAGCAAGCACTCGATAGATCGGTCAACGTTTGTATGAGTAGGTCATCATCGCTGGTCTGACTATTGGGTGGTCGGTAAACCAAAATCAGTCTCAATTTAGAAGATTTACATGGTATAATCAGGTCAACGCACAACACGTTTGCTTTCATGTTTATCATTGTTTCTAGTTTTTGGACCAGTATTGCATAGAAAACTAAAATACATACTCCACCGCCTTTGCGGAAACTTCTGTCAGATCGAAAAATGGAGTATGGAAAATTACCTATTATTTCACCATCAAAGATCTTATAATAAAACCATGTTTCGGTTACAAAAACAATGTCGGGTTTGTAAATAGAGAGAAAAGTGTGAAGATGATCAATTTTGTTTACTAGACTCCTCGCATTAAGTAAATAAGCTCGTAAATCAGTAGTTGTGCCGTGCGAAATCACGCGTTTCCCGACCGTCCGTTAGCCAGATCAACTACTCGCACAAGTTTCCCGCGGTAAACCACCCACTCCTTTTCCCTCTTACCCTTATTGCGTTCACGTGCTTCTTGTCGCAACTCGAATTCAGCTCTGCGTTCTTCTTCTGTTAGGCTTCCCCGAACGAAGATCCCTGAAAATCCTGAACTGCGCAAAGTATGAGCATTGGCGAGGGCGAGCCTCCAATAATAAGTGGATGGAAGTACAACTTTAATAAGCCTTGGACGGGACGCACTGGGTTTCCCCATCCAGAAGAATTCACTGGGGGGACAGTCCACGTCCAAAACCCCCAAAATAGAATCCACTTTGTCTTGAAGGTACTTTCTTCTCGCCAATGCTTCCATACCTTGAGCGGGTTCTTCAACTCCGCTTATGACGAAGCTCCGAGCTCTTATTTCATCTTCTACTATGGCCGAAAAATCTTTCGGAACCTTCTCAGCCAACGCCTTGATCATGTCTGTCATGATCGGATCATGACTCCTTTCGAGCATGATGGCTATAAGATCATGTGCACTCATTTGGCTATAATTTTCGTTTGCTCTACTGTCTTCCTGAATCTCATCATTGCCTCGGAGTGAACGCTGAGATGCATTAGTATTTACTTTAGATTTGCAGGCGCGCTCAGACAATTGGAAACTCTCAGCGGGCAGCCACGAAGCCGCCACCAATCCCCACCAAAAGCCCCCGCGCCTTATCGCTGCCACTGTGGATGCCCGCTGAATGCCATGTGGCTTCCATATCACTGCCGCTTCATAGCGGCCCGCTGACTGCCAGTTAAAGCAGCCCGCTCAATGCCATTCAAAGGATCCCGCTGACTGCCAGTTAAAGCAGCCCGCTCAGTGCCATTTAAAGGAGCCCGCCCACTGCCGCTTATATTAGCCCGCTCAGGGTTGAGCCAGACTTCACGGGGAAGCGGCGTACGAGGCGTACGCAGCGTACGCCGCGCAGTCTGGCCCAACCCTCAGTGCAGCTTACCGCACTCGCTCCTTTTCGGTATCCACTACTCCTTCTGTACTTGCACTATAAACAAGCTAGGCATCATCTTTTATTAATCAATTGCCCGAAAGAATGCGATACTTCTAGTAATTTAGTATAATGCATTAAGGCACATAACAATAACTCAACGAGGAACAAATACAGAGGAAAGAAATCAACTCAAAAGATCATTTAGAGTGTCTTAATACACGTACATGTAATGATATCTCAAAGCGAACGAGGTAAAGGTGAACGAATTGAGCTCACATTGAAGGTCAACCTATACTGCAACATAACAGGTAATAGCAAATTAACAGAGAACACGATACAGATAAATCAGATAAAGTCAAAATGCAAGATCAAGGCATTGAGGAGAAATGAGGATGTCCATGCGGGAAGAGGTTTGAGGTGTTCTGCTCCAAACAAAATAATCAGGACTAACCATTTGATAGATTTTTAATGCATACCTTGATCGATTCGACAGCTTACTGCTGTGTATTGTGTATTGAGCTGTGTATTGATCTAGCAATCGAGTCATTTTGCTTCATTTACTATCGTCCGCATATCAAAATAATGTCGGAATTCTACCAAAAGTGATGATTATGAAGCAAGAGCAAGGACGCACGACCATCTTTTCAATGAGTCATCGTACAGCTGATGGTGCTATCGCGCTTCCGTATCTTAAGGGCCGAGCATACTCTACGCGATTTCAGTCGCGACGCGATTTGGCAATTCGCCAGAACTCTTCAGATGCAACACTAGCAAATTGCACATGCATGGTGTGTATGATATAAGTGGGTTGATAAAATACGCTATCTTTTGTACCTTCAAATTGTGCCTACAATGAGTTACGGACAGCTAAAATATTGCCAAACCGCGTCGCGAATGAAATCGCGTGAAGTATGCCCGGCCCCTTATGCAACAACCATCAAAAGCAAACGAAAGTTTTATCGCTGCCTTGTCGTCGCATTCTGGGTGCTTTTGCAGCAATAACGCGCTCTGTAGTTATTTTCTGACTCACGCAAGATTATGGCAGCCCGCTGATAGCCTGTCGCTGCCCGCTCCCTACTTTTTCCGAGTTATCGCCGCCCGCCCACTGAAACTGCTTGCTATCGCTGCCCGCTGAGAGTTTCCAATTGTCTGAGCGGGTGGTTTTTGCAGGCATATTTCCTTGATCTACCTCAATCGGACCGACTGTCGATCGTAAGACAGCGAAAAAACGATAATATATGCATATATATGTATATGTATATGTATATGTATGTGTATGAGTACGTGTATGTGTACTAGTATGTGTATGTGATGTATACGTGTATGTATATGTATATGTATATGTATATGTGTATGTGTATGTGTATGTGTATGTGTATGTCATGTATGTGTATGTATGTGTATATGTATATGAATATGTATATGTATATGTGCATGTGCATTAGTATGTGTATGTGTATGTGTATGTGTGTTTGTATGTGTTTGTATATGTTTGCGTGTTTGTATATGTGTATGTGTATATGTGTAAGTGTATGTTTATTATGTGTATGTGTATGTGTATGTGTATGTTAATGTGTATGCGTATGTGTATGTATATTGTGTGTGTATGTGTATGTGTATGTGTATGGTATGTGTATATGTATGTGTATATGTGTGTATGTGTATGTGTATGTGTATGTGTATGTGTATGTGTATGTGTATGTGTATGTGTATGTGTATGTGTATGTACATGTGTATGTGTATGTGTATGTGCATGTGCATGTGTATTTATGTGTGTGCATATGTATGCGTAAATGTATGTGTATGTGTGTATATGTCCGTCACATGTGTATGTATGTGTATGTGTATATATTTGTTTACTAGCTGGCTTACCCGGCTCCGCCGTATGTTCCGAATAGAAAATTCCATTTCTTAACCGATCCGGACCAAACTTGGCACACATACCCTTCGGGCCCCGGCGGGTGTCACAGTCCACTTTTCGTTATCGATCGATGTCGATTTTATCGATTTTTTGCAAAATTTGAGCTACGGGGCTGGGAGTTGGCAGAGGGGTGTAATCGAGCATGCTGATTACGAATACAATATTAGTTTTCGAAACCGTGCATCACTTTTATCGATTTTATCGATTTTTTGCAAAATTTGAGCTAGGGGGCTGGAATTTGGCAGAGGGGTGTAATCGAGCATGCTGATTACGAATACAATATTAGTTTTCGAAACCGTGCATCACTTTTATCGATTTTATCGATTTTTTGCAAAATTTGAGCTAGGGGGCTGGAATTTGGCAGAGGGGTGTAATCGAGCATGCTGATCACCCCCACGGGAGAGATCAGCATGCTCGATTACCCCCCTGTGCCAAATCCCAGCCCAGTAGCTCAAACTTTGCAGAAAAATCGATAAAATCGATAAAAGTAATGCACGATTTTAAAAACTAATATTGTATTCGGAATCCCCATGCTCACTTACCCCCTGTGCCAACTCCCAGCCCCATAGCTCAAATTTTGCAAAAAATCGATAAAATCGATATCGATCGATACGAAAAGTAGCCTATGACACCCGCCGGGGCCCGTAGTGTATGTGTGCCAAGTTTGGTCCCGATCGGTTCAGAAATGGAATTTTCTATTCGGAACATACGTACACACAGACATACAGACAGACATACAGACAAACAGACATTCAGCTTTATATATAAGATTTGTGTGCGTACGTGTTTGCTTGTATTTATGCTTAGTGTCTGCGAATATTTATGGTGATTGATGTAGTAAAGTATAGAGCATATGGTTTAGCGATGTGTTGAAATGTTTTATGGGTGCTTCTTGTATGTTAAATTATGGAAAGTATTGAAATGTTAGAAGACGTCTAAATATTATGGAATATTGTTTCAAAAAGAGTTTTGATAAATTTTTTGTATTCTTTGTTATTAGTACTTGCACAATATTTAGTGATTATGAAACTGTTACGATGTATACATTTGAATAAACAGTTCGTCATTAATTCGTAAGTAAACTCATTCTTTTCTTTCAAGTATTTACAAAGTTGTTTTATTTTTTCGATGTAAGAACTTCTTAAAGGCAGCGTCCCACCAAACTGGGGGTACCTGGCTCTCGTAATGATGTAATAGTGGACCCCCTACCTAAGCGATGACTGAAGTTCGGAGCGAAAAAGGAGGTCTACCAAGCCTGAAATTTGCTCCGAAAGTGGGCCGAATCTTACGGTAAGATCGGGCGAGTGCGAGGTGCACGCAAGGCAGAGACGCAGAGTTGCTGCGGGTCTCTGCACTCATGATGTGTGCGCTATACGCACTCTCGCCCTGCAAATCGATATTGCCGTGTGGGCGGCGTTCGGCCCTACCGTAAGATTCGGCCCACTTTCGGAGCAAATTTCAGGCTTGGTAGACCCCCTTTTTCGCTCCGAACTTCAGTCATCGCTTAGGTAGGGGGTCTACTATCACATCATTACGAGAGCCAGATACCCCCAGTCTAGTGGGACGCTGCCTTTAAGGTGCACGTTCTAGCTATTCTTAACATTTCCGTATAAATTACTGACCTTTTAACTTGTATTGAAATACTGGATGTGTAATGTGGGAATCTAATTATATGGTATTTGAAGTTATCTGTTTTATTATATAATTGTGTAATTATTTTATTGTTTACTATGTTAATTTCTAGGTCTAAGTAAAAAGTCTGGTAAGGGGTGTTATGTGTGGTTTCCAATGCCAGTTTTTGTTGGTAGACGTTGAGTAGCAGTTCATTTATTTGGTGGTCTTCTTTGTTGTGTACAATTAGTATGTCGTCCATATATCTATATGGAATAAAGTTGTTAAAATAATGGGGATAATCTTTTGTATATATATATTCATAGTAAGATAAGGTAAGGTCTGCAAGTAATGGACTGCAATTACTACCTTGTGGTACCACAGTTATTTGCCTAAATATGAAGTTGGCAAATTTACAATAGCTATTATAAAGTAAATATTGAATCAAATATAATACGTCGTTTATATCGTAGTATCTGTAATTACTGTAATTGTGTGTATCTGCGTAGAAGCTTTTGAATCCATTTAAAGCAATGTATTTTTTATCAGCATTTTTGAAGCAAATTTTCAGGATTTCCCTAATATTTTTCATGACTTCTTCATGTTCTAAATTATTGAACATGTCTGTAAAATCTGCTGAGAACAATTTCATGTTTGGAATATTCAAATTAGAAAGTGCATAACTAATGTTAGTATTGTTAATGGACCAGAAACCTACATAGTCTTTATTTCTTTGTTTGATAGCATTAACATATTTGCAAAAATGTTGTCTTATATGTTTGAGTATGTGGCTTAATTCTATTGCTAGTATTTTGGTACTACTGTTATAAGCACCTGTTATAAATCTAAATTTTGTAGGATTTTTGTGTAGTTTAGGTAAACAGTAAATCACTGGTATAATAGAACTTATGGGAGATTTTAATCCAAAAACTTTGCACATGTTTTCATGCTTCTGGATTATTTCGCTAATAGTTATATTACTTTGAACTTTAT